TATACTAAATAACTATTAGATTCTTCTCTACTATCTTAACGTTATAAAGCAAATTTTAAAGAAAAATAGCTTTGAAGATATTAATTATTTGTTTGGATGTATATAAACCATTCAATAAGCAATACTGAAGATACTCTTAATAAAAAGTAACGAAAACTAATCAATGACATTAGGAATCTGCACCGGGTACAATGATTTGATTATACGTGTTTATGTTGTAACATAGCCTGCTTTTACGTTAAAACAAGAATATAGTAATTTAGTAGTTGAATTCATGAGTCGATTAAAGCTTAACCACCATAGAAAACCTGGAAGCACAGGATCGACGTTTCGTCTTAGTATGGAACTCCTCAGCAGTACGCAATATCGTGGTTTCGTTGAAGTTAAACAATAACACCGTTGTATGCCGGACCAGTGGTCTAGAGTTTAATGGTTTGCACGCGAGACAGAAGGTCCTGGGTTCAAACCCCTATGCCTGATCGTGGATGCGCGCTGCTAAGGAGTCCCATACTAAGACGGAATGGTCTTCCAGTGCTTCCAGGTTCTCCATGGTGGTCTATCTTCTATGGATCCAAAATCAACCTCTAATTGTAATCATTTCATGATATTCAACTTCTCATAAATAACTTGTTCATTCTTTCAATATTTCCAGTTTTGGTAATAAATATTGAATCCAATATAAAATTCAGCTTGTAAAAAATAATAATGATAATATGATTAATTCTTAAATGGTTTATCAGATAAACATAGACGATCACTACTATAGTTTTTCTTGACATTTCCATAGTGTACTCTACATATAAAAATGAATAAATTTATTAGTATTATTATCATTAATTAACCAGTAAATTCTACTATGAGAAAGAGCCATTTAATGTATTATATCTGTTAAAAATTCTCCAATGCTATAATATTCAAACTTCTAAGGGTTACTGAATTTCAATTTTAGTAGTTATTCTATTATTTTATTCTAATTAGATTTCTCATTGACAATATAGTCATACAGATTGTGTCAGAACATATTGCTACCTATGATCAGTGTTTGATAAGAAAAATGTAATATTTTCATGTTTTGTAGATTTATTTTCGCTGGTCTGAAATCTGGTTGTCTAGTTGTGTTCTACATTGACTTCAATCAGTGGCATCATGAATTTCAACAACGTTACTTTTAAATCATTAAAAGAGAACTGATCTACCAATACATATCAATTTATTAATACCGAAGCGTATTCATTTTATACTGTTTTTAATATTTTGGAATTACTAAAATTTGATTTCAGTAGTTAAATATGTAGACACGTTTTATTTTCCATTGTCTTTTGTGTTGGGACCATTTATAAATAAAAACTTTTGATGTTGTTCCTGTAGTTCAGGTATATTTTTTGAAACGTTTTTTCCTCTATATATTTGTCTACCCTTATATTTCAGTGGTCATATCATATATGAATGTGATAATCAAGAAACCGTTGTTATGTTTCCTCTCGAGCACTTTCTCATTGTAAAAATATTGTAAGTTTTTTTATGCAATCCATGATGCTTAAATAAATAAAAACACTATGTGGTGGTTATTTGCTTATCCTATTCGTCTGGTTTCACTGGCATTGGTGTCAGACTGAGAGCTAGAGCCGGGGCAACACTGACCGATCGGATTTTCATTAGCATTCGGTTATGTGCTGTTAGGTTAGGTTTCAGCAAAGTACGAAGAAATCAGTGGGAGAAACGCTGTATTGTCATCCTCTGAGGCCTACACTATGACAGATTCAGGCCAGATGCGGTCAAGGGTGAGTTTTATTACCGGTTAAGTGTTCTTTTACAGAAAGTGTGCTCGGCGGTTATTGTGGTACTAGCCGGAGACTTGAAGGCTCAGGTCGGGTGTCTAAGTACAGAAGAGAGTCGTTTAGGTGGCCGATGGGGACTTGTTGGTTACAGGTCAGATAATGGCGACCGTCTTCTGCAACTGTGCGCAGAATTTAACCTGTTTCTAACTGGCACTAACTACCAGAACAGTTGTCACCGATGTGTTATCTGACGTCCTGCTTCTGTATCTCAAGCTTGGACTCAGATTGATCACACCGCGATCAGCTACCATTGGTGTGGTGGTGTACAAGGCTGCTGCTCCTTTTGAAGTACCTGTATGAACTCTGATCATGCTCCTCTTTGCACTAATCTTACCTTACGTTTCAGTGGTCAACAAAGTCATCGTCATCAACGGATGTATGTCAGCAAATTGGTTGCAGCTTCTGTTGCAACTAAATATCAAACCGAGCTGGGTTTAAGGTTAGCCAACATCCCACTGAAAAGTATGGATGAGTATTATTCGCAATCGCATGATGCCATGAAAATGGCGAATAAAGCCTCTTGCGGCTTCGCAAGACGTCCCGCTTATAACCACTGGGTTTCTTCAGGTTCCTTAGCTCATTGAAGCACGTCGGTCTACTCAGGGTGGCCGTGAGTTAGACCACAAATGAAGACTGCTACGTAATGAAATGGGGCAAAGCTTACGTAAGAACCGAGAAGTCTAGTAGTCTGAGTGTGCCAACGAGTTGAAAGCAGCAGCTGCATCTGGTAACTGTCGGAAGCCCTTTCAACTCATTCGGGCCACTAGCAGCAAGAAGTCTGGCGTGAGCGGAACAATCTGTGAAGATGACGGACTGCCAATCACTAACATCTACCGACGTATTGGACGATGGGCGAAGTTTTTCAAGGAGAAGTTCAATTGTCTGCTTCCCCGAAAACATCGACCAGATTGTCCTACACTCCATTGCCTCTGACGACTGATCCACCAAATTAGGCAGAAATCCACAAGGAACTCCAACTCTTGAGGCGCTACAAATCATCAGACCCAGATAACTAACTTCAATCCCTTTTTAAAGATGGTGGTGAATTTTTGATTAAAGAACTGACAGTTGTTTACAAAGGTCCGTCAATTAGCAAGTGCTCAAACATCATGAAATGAGTTGGTAGTTGTCCCTATATTTAAAAAGGTTCACATCGTTTCTGTCATAACTATCAGGGAATAAGGCTACTTACGATTGCGTCTAAACTATTAGTTTCCGTCATACTTCGTAGATTGTTCAGAACCCGAGAAAGGTTGACTCATCAGGAGCATGCTGGTCTCCATCCTGGTCGAGGTTGTGTTGACCATATCTTCACCCTCCGTCAAATGTTAGAACACCGTCATACTTATCACATACCAACAAACGTAGTGTTTCTTGACATTAGAGTCGCCTTCGATTCGTTGTACAGGACTGATCTCTGGAACTGTCTGTTGAAGGTGTGGTATGTGCTACTGATATCAATAGATACAAGTAATGTGTGTCACCGACAGAGAGTGAAATGTCTGGCGGCAGAAGGTTAAGATCTAGAGGAGGACAAGAACAGAGAATGGTGTAGAACAATCAAGTCTGAGACAATTGATTGATATTTTGCAAATGAAGTATTTATTGTACAGTTCTCAGAGTTTACTAAGACATTTGGTTGACCCCACCTGTGCTCTCGTTCACTACAAAGCGCGTTTATTAAAATCTTGAATGCACTATATACAAACACTACAGGTAGAGTGTGGGCATACAACCACCTCTCTCCATAATTTCATCCAAGCGCTGGGGTCAGGTAGGGTTGCCCACTCCCACCATTCTTCAACTTTGCTATCGATGACGTTCTGGAAACAGCTCTGATGGATGTAGATGGTACTGTGGATATCTTGCCTAGTGAAAAGCTTTTCAATCATGAGTATGCGGATGATATTGTTTCATTGTGCGATGACATCAAGGCCATGAAATCCACACTTAATCAGTTGGCAATTCGCGTCCGTAGGTATGGTATGTGCTTTGCACCTTCGAAGTGCAAAGTACTTCTACAAGACTGGCAGGACCTTGATTCTGCACTCACATTGGGTAGCGACCGGATCAGTCACTTAGTCAGCTACAACGTAGGACCAGGCACATATATGCACCGGCCCAAGTTGCCATACCTCATTAGCACAAAAAGATGAACACCGGATTCATAGAAGCGGATAGAGGTAGTTGAGAAGTTCGTGTATCTGGATAGGTGCGTAAGTGCTGGTGATGTCATGAGCGAAGCACGCGTCCTGGATTCCACTGCTAGCTACTACCCATCTTTGCTTAGAATGCTAGTAAATTATGGTAATATTGAGGTAATACGCACAGTATGCACATATATCAATAAGAGACTGATCGATTGCAGTTTTAAACATCAATGAGAAGATTCAAATAAACATAACCAAGTGAACATATATATCAAAGTAAAAAGATGTTTTATGATATGGAAAGCGAATCAGAATTAGCCTAATGAGAAGATCAATCGATGGCGATGACGAGTGACCTAAAAGACAAATACTTTTCACTGACTAAAAAGCGGATCAATTTCGTAAGGATTACAGTGGTATAAATATAAAAACGTATTTGTGCATTTTACTTGGTAGCTCTATATACTTACTCACTCTTGTGTTCTCGCTCAGGAAGTCAGTTAGGGGGTTAGCGCGTGGCACACCGTGTATCAGTATCAGATTCCTGACCCCGCTCGTCACGACACTTAGCAATAAACAAACGAATATAAATCTCCACCTCAAGATGTGTAGACACTTGGAAGCACAAGTATATCGTGAGTACACCGCTGCAATATCTGTCAATGGTCATCTATTTAGTTATCATTTCCATAAAGTTAATCGATTCAAAATTCTGAGGAAATTCAACAAGCAAAACGAATCTAATAAGTGTATTATACAATACCATGGATAATCAAGGGTATGGGTGGTGGGGGTGTTTCGCCATTCACATACAACAATGAATGTTACTAGTCTTTGCAGTTATAAGTTAGGCTTCTTTTAATATTAGCTAACAATATGGTTGAGGTTATCCGCACCGTTCTGAACGTTTATACAGTGTTTTATAACTAGCATTTCCTGTCGTTTCTGAGTTTATTTAGTCACCGAGTGCTTCACGTTAAAGCATATTCCCATTAATGATTTTATTTCAAGCTGATGAAATTATCCGCAACAGTCCGCTATGAATATGTCCAGTTTAAAACAGTTCAATAAAGAACAAATATAGCGAACAATAAATCTTGAAAGAGAATTCCCGATGAAAATTCCACTCTTATATCCACTGTTTATCCATTAAATAGATAGGAAAATAAGTGAAATTGTTGAATAAAACACATTTAAAGAGTATAGAAAACATCGCCGATAACTCCAGCCCAAAACCATAATAATGCGAAGTAGTACAAATTTCAACACCAGTTAACTATCTCAATAATTTTTTTTCGGTAGTCATGTAACCTAAGTGAAAATATTGACATCTACTGTGATTACTATTACGGAAAACAAATCAGATTGAGCTTCACTCTTTCTTTTTTTTATAGTTTATAATATGAAGTAATAATTAAAAACAAACAAAATTGAATGATGTAACATCTCTATCTATTATATTACAATTAGTTTTATTGAATATCAAAAACACGATATCATCATGTGTATTAACATATCTGCCCCCTTTTTACGAATCTTTATTCAAACAAAATATTACGAATTGATGACCCTTAAATGATTTAAAATTACATATTTTCCTTTATATTAAAATTTTGTTTTAATTATTATCAAATGAATAATTGAACACAACAACAAACAAAATAATATGATGTGAAAAGAGTACAGTGAAATATGCAAAAAATTTCTTGAACAGATACTTTTCTCAAACAAAAAAAACGAATATAAAAACTTTTTTTTCAAGAAGAAAAAAAAATTACAGACAAGTATAAGCAATTAATGATGTGAAATGTTTATAATGATTTTGGCATATAAACCGAAAGGAAAATGACCGGTCGTCTTAACACCATTAATCTAATTGTATAATAATATTATACACATAGAGACGAGAATGTTTAAATACAGAAAAGAAAAAAATTTAGTGTATAAAAGTTACCATACTATAGTTATTATGGTAATGAGTAGATTTATTGACAATCATTTTAAGTTCTTAAATAATAATACTGTACATAATAATAGAATGATTATATCATATATCATTTCAATAAGAGTTGTAGAAATAAGAATAATCATAATAACAACAAATAAATACATAGTTGTTTTATTCAATGATATTCATTGTAATGGATGGATAAAAGAGAAAAATAACAGTTTTTTTTCTAATAAGTTGCTCTTGGTTCTTTTTTCTTCCAAAATTTTGTTTGTTTATTCGTTTCAATCTATTTCTGCTTTGTTCTTTTTTTTCAATATTAAATGCAATAATTCAGAGAAAATTAATGCTTTCAATTTAAAAAAACAAAAGACTAGCGAAACATAAGGAATAAGCAAGAAAAGGAGACAGAAAGACCATAGAGGAAGGAGAAGAAACGAATAAATCGAAAATAAATTTCGACAAATAGATGATATCGGTACAAAAGATGAAAGTTAAAGAGTAATACAAAAAAAGCACCGATGAATGAAGTATAATGTCTTTTCTAGACTTAATTAAGCAACTGATGCCATAAAGAGATCATAATGAGGTGTTAATTTTTCGACTGAGGATAAGCTTGTGATGTTTTATTACGTAATGAGAAAGTGGTATTTTGATTGCGTGCATCATTTGAACTGACTAAAACTGGAGTAGTTAAAGCATTCAATAAACGATTCATTGTAACTTTATCTAATTTTTCAGGATTTGAAGCTAAACTGGGATCTTTAAGTATAACATGACGACGAACTTCTGAATACATTGCACCATAAGGGTTACCTTTAAAAATAAAATGTAAATATATATCAGACATAATATATTATTTGTGAAAAAGAATATTAGTGATCCGATTTAAAAAAAACATGCGACTGAAAATTAAAAATAGTAATTGTCTTATTCAATACGATGAGTTTGAATATGGCACATAATTCTCAGTACAAAATATATTGACAGAATAAAAAGCTTCTGATAGATATTTATTTCCAACAAAAAAAGGTTTTTCAGTATAGATGGAACATTGCTCATGAACTTTACAAGTATGAATGCCAGTATGATTGTGTCTTGTTCCGTCAAAGAAAAGATAAGGATAAAAACAGACTACACACATAGTTGTCTCCACTATTAATAGGTAGGAAAATTGATACTAGAATTATATTTCCTTATAGAATGAGATACCCTAGAGCCTATATTATAGGGGCGTTGAAAAAAAAGAAGCAGTTTATAGAAGTCAAATATGTAACGACGGGTAGAAAATGAAGTCACTTCCTAATTCATAATAAGCAGAGTGGATGAGAACAATAATCGTTATCCTCAAACAACAGTAAAAAACGTTTTTTTTCGTGTTTGTATTCTTTCACTAGCAGCCTTATTCCTGAATAAGATGATATAGGATGAAATAGTGCGAAGTGAAAAATCATAGGTCACTTCGAAACCGTTAATTTTATCATTCAGTATTCACTTATTTACTTACTTACGCCTTTTACCCCTTGTAGAGGAACATAGGCCGCCCACCACGATTCTCCATCGAATTCTGTCTTGGGAAATCCTTTTCAGCTGTTTCCAGCTACTATTCATTATTTTGATGTATGCTTCCGATTCCCGACGTAAATGATATAATGGCAATATCGACTTATTTACTAACAAGCAACTGATAGTTATACTGTTTAGATCGAGCATCTTTAATAAGCATACAAGTTTTAATATCTTTATACATATTCGTACACCTAATTAATAAGCTTATTACTTTGTTTCGTGAGACTTATTCGGCTGAGCTTCAGAAATCTGACCCGTAAGCGAATTGTTAATCTGAAGACTTGTACGTAGGTTTCAACTAATGGCCATTGTGTAACAACAATAAAAACTAATAAAATAATTTAACATGTGAAAATTTTTGGACTCAATGTCTGTAAAAAATGGCCCAAATAACAAGCTAAATGTAAGCATCTCAACGTCACAAGAAATGAAATATGCTTAAAAGTAAGACGTCATTATGGGGAACAAGATGAACACTAAGAATTCATCGAACCTAAAATTACTAGCTATCTCGGCTTTAGTTACGCCATCCAGCTTTAGACTAAAAGTAAGATGTATCTTTTCAATATGTTCCGGAGAATGTACTAAAAGCGAGAGAACGGCACTTACATATGCTAAGTGATCAAAACAGTAGACAACAAAAACAAGTGAGCCACTGGTATTTTTGGAGGTAAGCAAATAGTTGAAAGTAAATGAAGTTTCAAAGCAGTGTGGACAAGGTAAGTAAAAAATATCAATAGTTTATAGTGAGCGATAAAACATTGTAATAAGTGTATAAACATTCAAAACGATGAATTCGGTGAAATAAATTGTCATCACTCAACACAATACAAAAGTTAAATGAAGTAATCCCATAGTGAATTATGGACTTTATTATGAGATGGTGGAGAAGATTTGTAGCTCAGGTGAATGATTTCGGTAGTTTTGTACTCTGAGCTGTGTGATTTCGTCATGAAGCTTTCTTCGTTATATATCACCCAGCTGCCAGTATGAACTCAGCCCCGTCAATTTCGGATTAAAGGCCTGGATTTTATCAATAGCCGTAATATACAAAAGAGAGTGGAACAAAATCAAGTGTTTGATAAAGGAGTTGAGTGTATAACCTCTGAAAATCGCGATATATAACTCTAGCTATTTATTATTCGTAAGTAGTATAGCGTGTTGTAAAAAAAGCAGGAAAGGAACTACACCAAAAGTAATAAACCAGTGACAAAATAAATTTATAACAATTATCAGTAAAAAAACTTATAAAAAAGCCTTATGCATCCTTTATATCCAACACTTCGTGTATAAATTGGTTGTAAAAATCAACTAATCTACTACAAATCTGTATAATCACAATAGGGATTAAACGAAGCATAAAATGATACAACAAAAAATAACTTACTTAGCATATTGGTAATCGGTGATGCCACATAACGTGCTTGAGATCTAGACGGATTGGTAGTGATTAGTGAACTCCCAACAGAATTATTGCTAACACTGCTACGAATCGCTTGTGGCAGAACAGTTTGCATATCTTCAGTACTACCGCTACCAACATTGGTTATAGTTACAGTATTTTCTGTTGATTTAGTGACAGGTATACTACTACTATTATTACTAATGACATGCATACCAGTATTTGAAATGTTCACTGTATTATCAGTGAATGCCGATGTTGGAAAGAGATGTATGTTACTATTATTATTGTTATCGTCATTAATAACAATTGTCTGTTCGTTATTTAATGGTGGAATCATTGAGAAGCGAAAGTTGGTATTGACAATATTCGGTAAAACTAAACGTTGCTGTAATTGAAATTGATGTTGTTGTTGTTGTTGAAATTGTTGTTGGTGTTGAGCTATCCACTCCTGTTGTAACAATAAACGTTGATGTTGAGCTAATGATATACCTAATCGTTTTTCTTCTTCAAACTCTCTCCATGCTTCTTGACGTTCTGATTCTGTAAGACCTTCATCTTCTCTGTGCTCTAATAATGAATCATGATTATGATAAGTTACAATTAAATGTGGATATTCTGTAAGCATATCGGCTAATAAACGATCTTTAGGTAATATTGGTGTAGGACGTTTATCATTTCCATTGGGATTCCATATATCTGGTTCAAAAGTAAATAGTTCTTGTAAATCAGAATCTGAAAAATGTCGACCAATTTGTAGTTCATCGATTACTCGAAGCGATAAAGATTGTTTAGTTACCTGAAAAGTAGAAATGAATTCGAATATATTACATCAATACATTAGGCATGCAATAAAATTATGTTCATCACATACAAGATATTAATATTACATATGAGTCAAAAGTAACCCAAATCATAAGGAAATGTAGTCTAAAAAAATAAAAGTCAGACGTTTACATGAATTATCAATATTTGCAACTTATCCGTTTGCGATATTTGTATTATATTCATTTCTACAGAATTAAAGGAAACCGTTCAATATACTCCTGGGTGACACATTTAAATTGTATTAGCCAAGTTTCTTTGAACCTTTTATACTTACCACTTACATATTTCTCTGTAACTATTCCAAAGATGATATTGCATTAAATTGCAGAGATTCCATAATACAGTTCCAAATTCAAGATTTCCTATTTTTTAAATATACCTAATAATATGAAGAATCGTATCTCAGCAATAGATAAATACTGAGTTTCTATCATATACTCTTTAACACGTGAAAACGCCTTATATACCTCGTTAAATGAAGTGTTTAAAATACATTACTCATGTTATCATCAATAATAGACAATTCCTTTGTTTTTACTTTAGATTTTACCCATGAACTCAATTATTTGGTCTGAATCCTCGACAAGATTTAACATATAATGAGAAAAGGGAGAATTCTTAAACTGAATAGCTTGATGATATGTTTTAAACGTAAAAATATTAAGTAAGTAATTGCAAAACGAAGTACTCAGTTAGAAACAGATCTTTTGATGCATTAAATGGTTTGGTCCCTTTTCAGATATATGTCTTTTTAAAGTTATCACTAGAAGTTCTAGATAAGTAGGATGATTTTTCTGTGAAACTCGAAGTTTTACTCCTAATCAATATCAGTAGTAGTATAACTATATTTTAGATGATAGATATTAAATTAAATAAAGTGAAAAACTTTTTACTGTGTACCTGTCGATCATAAATTTTCTCTTCAATTGTCCCTTTTGCAATAAGACGATAAATATAAACAGGTTTACTTTGACCGAAACGATAACTTCTAAATATTGACTGAATATCATGACTTGGATTCCATGATGCATCAAGAAGAATAAGACGATTTGCAGAGACCAAATTGATACCCAATCCACCAGCTTTAGTAGATATGATAAACAGTCGTAAACGTGTATTACTAGTAGAATTGAAACGTGTCTGCAAATCTTTTCGTACATTTACATTCATACTACCATCCATTCGTTCATAGTCTAAGCCACGTATCCATGTATTATGTCCAATATCAGAAAAATATGCTGATAAATCTGGGCGATTTAAAACTTCTGGATTTTGTGAAGATTCTACATTATCATCACCTTTTTCATTTGACATTTGATCCTTAAAAAAAGTTTTATTTAATTGATTAGCTAGAGATTGAACTATGGTGAAGTACAACAAAAGGGATGAACATTTTGCAGTCATATATATATATATATATATATATATATATATATATATATATATATAATCTCTTTTATTCATATATTTTCAATATTGCATAACACAATAATTACTTGTGCATATCTTAGAAAAATTTCATCTCACAAATTAGAAACCCTTCTTTAATAAAATAGAAAAAGGAGGTTCATTGTATTGACTTGTTACAACAAATTCGGAAGACCATCAACCATAGTGAGTTACGTGATTCCCTTGAAGTCAATCAACATACACCAGATTTCATACGAGCAAATATCTAATTAAATAGTTAGACTAGTTTACTGATAAGGATTGATAACTGGACTCACACGTAACTAAAAAAGATACTTGGTGATGTAATAAGTACAAAATATAACAATATTTCGAGCACTGATCCATATCTTGTTTAGCGAAACGCTGATTTAACACAGCTGGGAATGGATGACTAATATAACCCAACGGAAATAAGTCACTCAATGGATTTGTGAATCATTTCTAGTTAATCAAGCACAAAACTTTTGCAAAAAAAATACAACAATACTCTTTTGATAGAATTCGGTCATAAATGAACCGAACGATATACTTTTTAGCTTCCGAAAAATATTGAACAATCATCCTTCACGTTCTTTTGGCATTGTGTAGTACGTAAAGTTAAGTAATCAACTGAAAACAAAAAATTTTCTGCCACTATACACACGTTTCACAGACATCACATAAATCCCTCAACCACAAAGTAATTAAAATAAAACAGATATCTTACCTGATAAACAGACCACTGACGATTTATCTCTGCTAAAAATCTTTCAACTAAATCCAATGATATCAAACTATGAGAGAACATAATCACTTTGTCACCAATATCTGAACATCGTTTCAGTATATTGAACAAAACATCCATTTTAGCACCTACATCAATCTGCCAATCATATTCATCTTTGTAAAACATATACCACCAAGGTTTTTGACACTCACCAACATCAATAACACTTTCTGAATCATCTTCAGAATCAATAATAACAGTATGATTTCTTGATTCTTGACGAGTCATTGGACGATGTCCCCGACGTGGTCTAACAGTATTATTATCGTTGTTATTATTTGAATTAATAATATTTAAAGACTTTCTACTTTCAATATCTACATCGATCTCGTCATTTTTTCTGTTGGCATTCTCATCACTGTCGTCTGAAGACGATGAATCATCTGAAGATTCTTCTGATGAATTCGCTGAATCGTCAATAAAACTATCCTCATCCATAAGGAGCATCTAGATGATAAGATAAAACAGTAATCATCAAAATTATAAATTTATTCAGTTCATAAATGCTATAAATGAGGACCTATAGGTTTCGAAATTATACATACATATATGTGTAATGTGGGTTACTTATATCGACATAAGTAGTATATATTGTGAGTAAGGTATAGAATATCTAACTACAGAAGATTGAGAAGATCAAGAAGAGAAGAACAGAAATAAAAAGCAACTGGTGTGGAAATCCAGGAACAATGAAGTCCGAGATAATTAAAGAACATTTTGCAAATAGAGTATCATAATATGGTTTTTGTATTTTACGAAGTAACGTTGTAATTTATGCTAAAACATAGTTGGTTGTCCTCACCCGTGTTCTCATTCCGCACAATATAGCAAATTTTTAGATTGGAAATTATTGCTAACTTTATGAAAAAAAATCATAAAGACAGCTCAGAATCAATTTACCAAAACCACAGATCCCAGGAGAAGTGACATAATTTGTTATACACACCGCAAAGTCTCAGAATATGAATTAAACATAAACGATAATACTCAAAAGAGTTTTCCAAAAGTAGAATCTCTTCCTATCATCTACTCCAAGTAATGTTCATGAAATAAAACTTCTGAAAGCTCACAAATATCCTTCAATAAAGTCTCCAGAAGCTCAGAGAAGGTTGAATATGTTTTACCCAATCAGTACTGAATAACATGTCTATCAGCAATACCTAGAAAAATAGAGGATTGTTTCATATTTTGATTGAATAATTAGCTATCTCGTTACTATATTTGGTATCTTTTCAGAAGTTTCTAGGAGGTCAAGATGATTTAAAAACGTGCAAATACAGTTGATTTTTCGCACATAGATGAACCTCAGAGTAGAGATTTTCCCAAAAATTATTGAAAATTTACGCCAATCAATCAGTGCATATATCTACATATGAACTAATACAAAAATGAATAATCAATTTAAAAATATACATATCATACTGATATCATACATGCACTATTTATCAATTACTAACTTACTTTACGAGCTTCTTTTGTTTCATGTATTCTTAATGCATGTGGATGTGTGGAGATACGATATAAAATTTGTTGAATCATAAATAATTTCTTTCGATGATTTGTTTCATCTTGATTAGTGGAAGTATTATTATTATTTGATAAGGTATTATTTGAATTTAAATTACTGTGATTTTCTAAAAAATATCTATATAATTCTTGTTGTACTTTAGTTAATCTACACATAATTACATATTCATATCTTGGTGGTAAATATTTCGTCAATACACTATAATCTTTACGCTATATACAAGAATTAGAAAAAAAAAGAAAAGAATTCATGAATAAATAACTTTCTTTTTTCAAAAAAATAATGTAAGTCGAAAAAGAAAAGGTTTATAAGATTTTGTCAACACAAATAAAATCATAAGCTCACCAGTGACTGACTCCATGAGGTACTTCGTGGAGTTCTAGTGAGAAGCAGTAACCAGTAGAGTTCAACCAGGTCTGTTGGGAGATATTAACTTGCTGAAGACATTGGTGAATGGTTGCTCAATTTCGTGGATTGGTCAAACTTAGACATTAACACCGTTGGATGCTGGCTCAATGGTCTATCGGCTAAGTGCTCTGGCGCGAGACTGGTAGGTCCTGGGTTCGACTCTCGCAAGGCGGGATCGTAGATGCGCACTGCTGAGGAGTCCCACAATAGGACGAAACGGATTTCTAGTGCTTCCAGGTTTTCGATGGTGGTCTAGCTTCAACTGACTCATCATCTCAACTATATGAAATTACTAAAATCTTCACAAAACCCCCTTCTGACAAATAAAGTTAACTGATGAATATTTCAATTTATTCTATTTAATAAGAATAACTGAACAAGAAACATAACTGTATACGTCAAGAACTCCAAGTATAATACGTACTTCATGGTTATCAACCTATCGATAGATTTCACTTATGATTATATTGAACACTTTTTGAGAAAGTTAACAATTTAAATTGTTGTTTCAAATATTTTTATGACATGGTGTTAACTTACAAGTTATAATGAAGAATAAGTTCTTTTGGATTTAATGTTCGAATTCTTTCAAAATATCAGTACTGACATACAACTCAGAATAACTTTGTCAGTTAATATTGACCAGTTAAAAAAATGAGATCATTATAACGATTTAATTGTCATTTGAGCAGATTCACTGAATTAAATAATTGATTAATTTCAATAAATTATAGACAAGTATACTTGCTTACGTACGTCTGTTATTTCTCATGGAGAAGCATGAGCTGGCCACAACCATTTGCCATCTAAACCTGTCCTCGACACTCCTTTCCAGTTCTTTCCTTTCGCTATACCTTCTCTTTATGTCTGCTTCCAATTCACAACGCAGTGTGTTTGTTGGCCTTCAACTTCTCCGTTTCATTTCAGGATTTCAAGCTAGGACTTGCCTCGTGATGCAGTTTCATGATTTCTACAATATATATCCGATTCACTTTGAATCTTTTCCCAATTTCCTCCTCAGCTGGAAGTTGGCTTGTTCTTTCTCATAGTAGTCTGTTGCGGATGGTATCCGGTCAACGGATATTCAGTATCTTACGTAGACAATTGTTTATAAATACTTGTATATTTTTGATGGTGGTTGTAGTAGTTCTCCAAGTTCGTATTGAAGATTCTCATTTTGAAATTAGTTGAGAGTTGTTTTGAGTCCCATATATTCTTAAATTGTAGGAATACAGCCCTTACGTTGCCAATCCTCGCCTTTACGTCTGCATCAGATCCTCTTTCTTCATCGATGATGCTTCCCAGGTACATGAAAGTTTCCGCATCTTTCAAAGCTTTTCCATTAAGTGTGATTGGGTTGGTGTTCTCCGTGTTGTATTTGAGGATCTTGCTTTTTTCCCTGTGTACGTTAAGGCCTACTGAAGTAGAGGCTTCCGCAACAGTGGTTGTCTTGAACTGCATTTATTCATGCTTATGATTACTTCAGTTTATTATAATTATTCATTGATTTGTAATGACAAAAACAAATAAGAAATTCTATTCCTTTATTTTATTTATTCTAACAACTCTTTTCCCAATATATTCAACGTAGTATTGATCATTAGAAGGTTAACATATTTTCATGTGTCACAACAATACGCACATACACCCGTATTTCAAAACATTGGATAGTTATGTAATTACAGATATGTGAAGTATTAATAATAATAATAATAATAATAATAATAATAATAATAAAATAATACCTGAACACAACCATCTAGTGTTTTATATAAAATATGGGCTCTTTTCTTCATTATATTTACATCTCTTGGTGTTGAATTTGAATGTTGCCCATTTTTTATTGGATTACCAAAACGATTATTGAATTCTTTAAGAGTTCCTAATAAATTCGGTTTGACAAAGTCAACCATTGTATGATCTAATTAAAACGAAATAAAATAAAAGATGAGGGTCGAAACAGTGAGGAATTTACTACGATCATTTTAAAAAAGCAAACTGTCTTTTCAGCCAGATAATCGAATAACAGTTCAACTTGTTGAACTGAACAAACCTACAAAGAGGTAACGCTGTAAAGTTTAAAATTAATGAAATAGACATGATAAAAACTATCAATAAACTATAAACAAATGAACATAGTGCATTATTTTTAAAACTTGGAAGCGGTTAAAAACTAAACATATCAGGGCTATCGTGATTTATATTATTTAGAATTTCTAGACACTAATAACTAAAACATTAGGCATCGCTATAGATAAATTAAGTCTTTTACACAATTCATGTCAGAATTTGACTACTCAACAGGCTGACTTGATCACAATATGGTCATGACTATTATCCAATTATTCTAACTATTATCAGATATTAAACCACTAACTTTGGCTACCCAATTAGTGTGCGCTTGTAGCCTGTTCAACAGACTTACCTACCACCTTTTAAGGATAATCTAGTTTTGAAATATCTTCAAGTGGGGTATCAATAGCAATCTGAGATATTCCTTATTATTCAAAAAAACTACTAACCGTTGACAAATCTAGCTGTATCCACTCATTATTCTGCGAATATCCACCGAAATTTTCTGCTCAAGTGATGATTGCTTAGTTGATACATTTCTCAATAAAAAAATTAAATTTAATCGATATATAATTAAATTAACATGGATGTAAATGGACACTTCCTTGGTCACTCCCAAAATATATCCTATTTGCAACATATGTCTTTTTGAGAAGCTGAGGCTGGAAGAAGCAAAGTCGTTACATTCGGATATCAAAGTATCAATAGATTTATCGTCGTTACCACTCAAACATAACAAATGTAAAAAAAAATAATATGTCCAAGAGTTCGAAATAGTGAATAAAAGAGTAAAAATCAATGTCCGAAACCAAACAGAGAAAATAGGATCTCACAAACACATTTAAGTAATTGTTGATTAGTTTTACGATCACATTTAGCCTCTAAACAGCTTGAGTATGTAGAAAGGCATATACCAAGGATTAACAGATTAATGAAAATACATAAATCTTAATTATCAGTCCAACTAAGCCTGGATATATTCAACTCTTCATACCATGAAATAGCTGGATTGCTAGTGGACATAATTAAACCATTTCAACAGGAAGACATTAGATATAGCTTGATATCATCAGAAAAATTCTTCATAAAAAATTATAGGCTAGCTAGTACATCCATATTTGTTTTTCTCGCCCCCTTTCAGTACTAAATAAATCTCATACGTAGTTCAAAATTTAGACGCAGAAATATTTGAGTGAACGATACTCAATAAACTAAATGCACAACAGCTTGTACGGAAAGAAACCAACTAACACCACTGTATAGGAAAAGACGATAAACTATTAACAACTAAACTGCGAAACACTACAAACAAATCGTTTTTTTCGTCTAAATCACGCATCTTATTTGCGACCTGCTATACACTCCTTATAAAGTTTATCATGGGCTTTTAAATCGGTTTACTCAATGTGGATTATAAATGTAACTGCTCTTGTGGAGACAATTACATGGGTAAAATGACTTGGCTAGCTTATTGTCTCTTCTTCGACCACCATCTTGTGTGTCTAGATATAGGAAAAGTTTAATATTGTCATTAGGTACATATAGCACAAAATTGATAAGAATGTGACATTATGAGTTATGTACAAAGTTTAAATGAAACTTTGTATATCTCCATTTGCTAACCGTAGCACAAACAAGAGCTATTACTGTTTTCAGCTAATGATTTTGAATGATTCATCTAATTAGTTACCTTAATAAACTTTTGTAAAGCAGTAACAAACATTGTGGGATGAAATGAATTTATTTAATTTTACATGCTCTAAATCTTCCACATACGCATTTGTATAAATAAATGGAATGTTTTAAGATTATACTTATGCGTGTAACGTGTAAAAGTTAGTATGTTCATTAAAGAAAAATAATTGTATATACTTCTAATATTTATACAAGTTCAATTTATAAGTGAATGAATTAAGTGAGACAGATAATATGACGTAACTGAGTACAAGAAACATGTGCTAAATAGTGAAAATGACACTAATTACCAAAAAATGGTGAAGTGTGACTATTGATAATAACATTTTTAGAGATGATGAAAAAAAGGGAAGACTAAGTAGATAAAGGGTAAACCATCCAACTGAATAATGTTAAAATAATAAGAGTAGCTGTAATAACCACAAATTAGGAATGAAAATACCAAAATGGATAATGAAAGTACCATTGTGATTAAATAAAAACGAAAACCAACAAATAAGGGGAATCTTAAGTATTTTAGAAACGAAGGAAACAAAGAATAGAAGACTATCAGTGAAACAGTCATAGCAGCAGTATCAAGTGAACTACAAGTTCTTTTGTACATAGTAATCGAGGTTAAGGGAAGGGATAGTAACTGTTACTGTATGACGTAGAAGTCTGTCAGAATTTTGTCTATTTATTACTGGGAGAGTAGCATCAGGAGATTCTTCCTGATAGTACTCTATTTGTTTTTCTAACGTATGATCTAGTGCAAGTACAGGTTAATAAGTAGATACAGCTGGAAGTAACTAGAAGAGGTCGACAATCCAAGTTAGTTGTTCTACATAGCCTTTTCGCTAAATATTTGATACCAAGGTTAGCACAACTGACTACCCTAAATCGACATTTATTCTGTACAGTAAAATCATCCCCTTCAAACAGAAGTTTGACAAACACATTCTTTTTACAATTATTGGCTTCCTGAGACATTTCATTTGTCGGCTTAAGATTTCGATTTATGAATTTTATGGGATAGCCATTTTCGATTATGTTTCTTCACATAACTTTCAGTCCATTGTCGACAAGATACTGTTTTTCCTGAAACCTTTTATAAGAGATTAAACAAAAGTTATTGAAATGTAAATAACACGTGAAACTGTACTGTTTTCATTTCTGACTATGATTACGTTTAAGAAATTCACTTTAGATACAGGTGAGTAAAAACTAAAGGATCTAAGTGGACGATTACTGCGGTCACTGTTATTGTATGGGATGAAATTGTTATCAACGTATCTCAAATATATAGATGTTTGTTTTATTGCATCGTTTGTTTTAATGTTCACTAATTATGCTAGGAAATTACTAGAGAATATACAGATCAGTAGCAAAGTCTGTTTCCCGATAATACTTTCCATTAAATTGAAACTACACATTTTTGTGCATAATAGTAATCCTTTCAGTATCTTTTTTGAAAAGTAAATCTCGTCAGCGCGGTAGCAAAAAATGTCAGTAGTCTCTTCTAGTGGGATATTCTTAAGCAAAAACGCTACATTTAAAGAAATCATACACTTCTTGATTAGGTTTATAACATCAGTTCAATTAACAAAGTCGAGACCGTCCTTAAAATGGTATACAAACAGCTTTTTCCTTGTAGGCTGAAACAACTGGGCAAGTCATTGAGCGAGCTTATGATATTATTAGTTATTTACCACTTTGATAAACCTCAGAGGATTACTAACTTTATGAAGCTTAGATAAAACGTGGAACGCCAGAAAGACCCTCTTAGTTTTAAACGAACCATAATTCGACTCATCTATTACTTTCTTTTACAGAAGTTGATTGAGAATTCGACTAACTGTTTTCTCATGTTTTTGTTCTGTCTATCTATACTAAAATACACAGTATCATTTAATAATTTATGCATTTCCGAAAGACATTCATATTTATTTGGAATAATGAAATCGGATCCTCTAGTGGGTCTTGAGAGGACTATTCGATCATTTTGTATCAATCCATTTACGAATTTTCAGATCTTTTGATAGACAACATACGGGAGTTCCTGGTGCGACGGCACATTACTTAGCCAAGTCCACAGGCCTAGTTTTGAGACAACCTTTGTTGCTTTTAGAGATAGGTTTCAAATCAGATAGGTAATTGTACAAGTTTTCAAACTGGGATTCCGTCTTTTTAAGCCAAATTACTACGTGGGACAACAAATTTAAAGACTAAAGACAAGACTTTCAGTTTTAGTGTGGCCAAATCAATATCAGAAAAGCGTATAACATACTTTTATGAGTCAATCTGAAAATTGCTTTCGTTGAAAGGTTCCTAATTGAATATAAGTTTATGAGCGAGTGAGCAAAAACTAAACATGGATACAAGTGTAAAATATTCCATTCATTTATAAAAATCCCTGCATGTATGGAAGATTTAGAGTATACATGATAAAATAAATTGACTCCATCCCAACAGTGCTTGTCGTTCTTACTTTACAAAACATCTTAATTTCCTTTACCTTTCAACAAAGAAGCCTCCATCTTAAAACCACTATAGCTTTGGACGAGACTGTTGTGACAAATAAGCTGGTAAAAAATGAATGGAAAAAGACACCGACAAAATAAATGAACTTGCATTCATTGAGATTATTTTGTAAAGGTGTTCCAGTCAGTACAACACGTTTCATGGTACGAATTTGTGATACAGCCTTAGTTATATGAGATTTCGAATTTTTCATCAAATGTCCTTCATCACAGACAACAATATCTGGACCTGGATCTAAGAGAGCTGAGGATATTGTGTTTCTAACATCTTTACTTCTTGTTCGCTTCATTAATGTCATAATAAAATTACGAAACATATCATAACCAATTAAAAGGACGCCACCCTATAATAAGAAAAAAGGCAAATGCAATGCAAATAATTAGGAAATCAACAAGGTTGTGAAATATAAAATGATTTGACGATTAATTCAAAAAGGTTGACCACTATCAGTGGGTGCGCATAGAACGAATATATAGCTGCTACGACAGATTGAAAGGAATAATTATGAGTGATTGTTGCTTTATGACCTATTTTTCCCCTAATTATAAATCATTTCTGAACTGATAAGTAAACCATAGATAATATTATTTTGTAGATAAATAATCGCTCCAACTCTTCAATGCATATATTTACACATTCAATTAGTAGATGGGATTATTGAGGCTCGATCGGATAAGGATACAACACAATCAATTTGTGTAAATATATTAGTTCAGTATTTTAACGAGTCGATTGAGCTTTTATTCCATATACTAGGATCACAAAAACGTTAGTTAGTCGGTTAACTTAGATAACGAAGTCGTAACATAATAACATTTTCTACACCTGGTAGCTTATAGACTTAATGAACAGTTTTTATCGTACGATAAAAATGGAATAAAACACCGCAACTAAGTAGAGAAATTGGAGTAATAAGCAAAAGCTGTTTTCTTTCAGTGTTGAATAAATTGTCTATAAGAGGGAATATTTAGGAGAAAAGATATTCAATAATGTGAATAAGGACGATAATCGGTTGATGAATTTCTGAACCATTGATCGACTGAGGTGGTTGGGACATAAGTCAACAGCGCTAAATCATCGCCAAACGCAACACAATATTGTTGGTGTAAAACTGTGGGTGGTCAAATCCAGGAATGGTATCAGTTCATGAATTCATTGAATAATGGAATGAGTTGCGTGGAAAACTACGCTTAGTGGATGGGTCCGCGCAATAATTGTGACCGACAGTTGTAGATGTTGCGTGGAACGTAAATTACTGAAATACATATATTATTTATCTCCCCAAGGTCTTGAATTTCAATGCCACTTCAAATAAACATAACTTGTTATCAGTATGGATGGAATTAAAAGAAACTATTTTTTCCAAAATTAAATTTAAACGACACGATATTACTGTATCAATAAGCTTACACTTTTATGCCAATGTTTAACAATATCCAGTTTGAGTCTGTTACTGTTCTTTGATGCCAATTCAAACACATCGACTGGCTCAGCTTCAGGCAACCATATATCCCATTCATGTTTCCAATTGAGCAGAGTATTCACTGGACATATAATTAAACATGTACGAATATGTACATGTTCCGGATATCTTAATAGTGTATGCAAGAACGAAATCACGGATAGCGTTTTGCCTAAACCCATGCAATGGGCGAGAATTGCACCACTTCCTGTAGAAGGTGATGGTTCACCTTGAGACGTTTGATGCTCCACAGATTCAATAGTACAATCCCATAGGAAGCGAACAGCTAGAATTAGATTTTTTGCAAAGAAGAAAAACATACTTTGAAATAATAAAAAGATAATAACGATAGAGTTTATCACGATAATCGTAATAAAATTGCAATAGTGTACCATAGATTAATAGTGATGCTTGAAATTAAAAGCTGGAAGTTTACCCTTTCGAAAGCATCAATAATATTTAGTCTTAAAAAACAAAATAAAACAACTGCTTAGAATCCCTTAGAACTATTATGATCCTTCACGTCACAGCAGAAAGTAGTTTTGACTGGAAAAAGTCTGATTAAATCATTAAGTACTAAACAAATGATGTTACATAATACATTAAGCATGAGATCTAGAGTCATGGTATGTAAACAACCCATCATAACCTCAGAACTATGTACATTGAAGAAATTGAATGCAATGCCAGTCGGCAAGTACTTCTATCTCAGAACTACATACCAGTTTTCACTCTTCAGAAATAGTGAGTTTCAAATGCAGATTCTTGAGTCCTGAAATAAACTTTAAACTTTAAATTACTACACCCTATCGTAGCAGGGAAAACTCCGAATTTCAATCCAGCGATGAGTTAATAATTGCACACCAAATATGGTAATTTCAATCAAACGGATTCCATAATATAATGCAAGGTCTAACAGTACATGAGAAGCAAGTTTAGGTGGTCTATTTACAGTGAATTATTCACCGACGAAAGGTCATCCCTTTCATTTCTTTATCTAGGTTAGTCTGGTTATCTACAAAAATCTGTGTCGAAAGCATTATTATTGTGACTTTTGACAATACGACTTGCTAAACTCTTTGCATAATTAATTAGGTTGATCAAGTGCTAGGAGTGCACACGGCCAAATTGGATTGTAGATAGGTACAGACTATGGCAACGAGAGTTAGTAGTTGGAATCTACAAAAATAATGAACCAATGTTAGCATCAACAGAAGATACTGAATATATTTCATTGCAACAATAGTTACATCACTTAGATATGATATTTATTTAGAATAGGAGAGGTTCAAGTGCATAATTCAAGTTAATTATACGATCCAAAAACGATTATAACAATCAGTTACATCAAATGCAACAGACTACGAGTTTATCTGATAGCTAACTAAATGTTTGTCCATCAAAAGTAGAGCTCATAGAACCGAATCACAATATTTAATTAGAATTTTTACAGCTGTATCAGGCTTTAGGAAACCTGATATAGATGCATTCCTGTCAACAAAACTACAACAAGAAATGTTATGATAACGAGGGAAAAATATGTAAATACAGAAAATTTAGAGCATACCTTCAACTTGATGTGGCTTCAAATATTTCACTATATCTGGATGAACTTCAATAACTGGATCACCTGGATCTAAAGTCAATTTGGTTGTAACTGCGTTTATCCCTTCACCATCTTGAACAATGAACTCATTATACTAGCGGAGAGAAAAAATTATAAGGTTCTTAATTTCTACAATACTAAACAAAGTCACGAATTATCATACAAAAAAGACATAGAGCGATATCAAATACTGCATAAAAGAAATTCACTTTGTATGAACAAAATGATGAAACAGTATTTAAGTATGATAACAACTGTGATACATCTTAAGTTAAGAAGTTTCCAATTAATCGATGAAGCCTAGTGTTTAGTATTTTTTTTCTTTCGTAGATCGTGAAACCGTTCAAACTGAAATTTTTGCGGAAAAGACGAAGATGCGAACTAAACATGCAACATGGATACCTATCTAGCAAGAAGTTACAATAATTAAACATTCTTTTCTCCAGAATCTGTAAATCGCTCCATCAGTAGACCATACTTCTGTATCCATGAGTGATTGCGATAAAACTGTCTTAATACATTCTAAAATAGGTATTTCCTCACTGTTTCCAGATCTGAAGAGCACTGAGAATCTAAATTATGAACTGGAAACAGTTGAAAAATCAACGAATTCAATTAAATTACCTGTCTAAATACCGAACGTGTAATAAAAAACGACTGGTTTTGATATGGATGATTGATGTTCTAGTGAGAAGTCATCAATAACAATATTCGAATACGTTAGAAGTGAAAATGGTCCTACCGATGAAACTGGATAACTGTGGCAGTACATCGTAAATTGACTGAAGCTCAAAATATACAGACTATTGAGTTCCAATGAAATACACTGAACGTACTGCTCTTTTCGAGGAACATGAAGGTTTTAAATTCGATTCTGCGTGAGATTGTAGGTATGTACAAGTGAGGAGTCTCAAGCTAATACTAAAACAACTATCTACTAATCTCAGATTTTCAATAGCTCTCTAGTTGCTGTTAAGTTATAATATAAACTTATTATTACCAGTTTCAGGAGTTAGATTAACTGAAATCTTAACTAAAATCTGGGAACGGAATGTAATCCAATCTCACTAATCGCAATCTCTGATCACCCAGACAAAAATCCTCTTGTGACAATGACAGAAGTATCAGTTTAATTAATACAGTGTTTAGAATACCCTCAATAATAATTCAACATCTGACTAGAGCTCACAAAGGGAAAACCCGAAAAAAACAGCTGGATTCAGGCCTGGACGTGGATGTATAGATCAAATATTTACCATAGCCACAGGTTCTGGAACATAGAAAAACTTTATGATGTCCGTGACCATATGGTGGCTTTCGACTGTTGTTCTTGAGGTTCTGTGGCAATGACTGTCATTGGAAGACGTGCCAAAGAAGTACATTGGATTTGTACAGAGTCTCTACTCGAACACTACTGGTAAAGTCAGAGCTTATGACGAACTGTCATCAGAATTGGTTACTTCAAGAGGCGTCCTTCAGGGTGGACCGCTTTCCCTACTTTTATTTAACTTTGATCGTAGAAATCCTTTTAGGGATAACACTTCCATCGTTACTTTTCAGAGGCTGATCTACCAAGGGATTCACATGTTGACTTAGAATACGTATATGACATAATTCTCTTTGATGGACATGCTGACAAAATGCAGTCTTCTCATCACCATAGGTAATAACGAAGCCATGTTTCGGACGGTGTTTTCCCACTCCAAATGCAAAATGCTGCTCCAGGATTGACTTGCATCAGTTACAGGATTAATGATAAGGAATGAAGTCGTTGAAAGTATCGATCGCTCCACTTATCTTGAGAGTTGCATCAGTCTTGATGGTCTAGTGTCTGATGAAATCTCAGCACGGATTTAGAAGGCTCGATCGGTTTTTGCCAACCTGTGCCACTCGCGATGCAAACGAGACATCCATCTACCAGCTAAAGAGCGAGTTTGCTGCTTGGCAATTTCCTCGGTTCTACTCTATGGCTGTGAAAGATGGCTGTTAAGGATAGAGGATATTCGTAAGTTACTAGTATTTAAACAAAGGTGTCTTCGAAACATTACCCGTGTATTTCGGGACCACCGAACAAGCGATGCATGGCTTAGGAATAGGACATTAGGTACGGATGGTGAACCGATTGACAAGGTAGTAAATCTTCATCAACTGAGGCGGTTGGAACATACGTTACGCATCTCCAACGAACACCTACCTCGATGGAGGATATTTTGTGGTGTGGAAGGTTGGAAGAAAACTAGGGGTAACCAAACCAAAACATGAAACCAGTCCATGAAATCACGGACAATCGAACTACCTGTTTGGGATCCGCGTGATTATCATAACGAGTGGTTAGAGATTCTAAATGACAAGCCTCGAAATTGTTTGCAATAGCGCACGTGCATCCAATTTTTATCTTCCCTCAAATTTCAAGCTCCTGAATTCCTAGTGATTTTTTTAGTCTCACTAATTTACGTTTTATTGAATAGTATCTTTGATACCTAGTCTTTTTTATCACTACTAATACTGTCACTACCTCTACTGTTCTATTGTTCTGACAATTTCCTCTCTCTGTGCTAATGGGGTATGGCAACTTGAACCGATGTAAATACGTATGAGGTTCTACGTTGAGACTAACCGATTGATAATACAAAATATGATTTAACTCAACAAATTTCGTAACCACCTACACATATATAACATTTTAACGTTTAATTATAAAACGTGAAGTAAACATATTGCAGTTCGAAATTGTAATCACATCATCCGTAGAAAACTGTGGTTTTACCTACTTAGTCAATAAAATCTGGTAAGTCATCATCGTTTTTACATACATCCTGATAATATATCATTTATTTACAGTGCATCATTGACAATAATTGCTACTTCTATTCAATCTAAAATGATGTGGATAATCTAGTGGTGACGAGTAACCAGAGTTTGTTGACAGAGTCAAATGACACAGAATTACCACTATCCAGTTATTCAAATGGTTTAGACACCAGGTTTTGGTAAACTGATCGACATAATTTTTAAAGATGAGAAGAGGATATTTTAAATAGTTACATACACAACTGGTTTCCTAACTACACAGATAACAAGAAGTACTGTAATTTTTGAAATAAAATTAGCATTCATAATACCTTAGTTGGTTGTATGACAAATGAAAACACTGAGGAAAACTCTTACCATCTTTTGTCTCTCAGCTAAACGACGTCGCCGTTCTTGTTCACAAGCTTCAGCAGCTTTTGTGGTTTCAGATAATCGATTAGCAGTGAAAATTTTTCGAATCTTTTTACGGCCTTTAGCATCTAATGCATCATCGATTATTTCTTCGTTGATTGTCTCTTTGCCTTTATTGTCCTGTAAATGTTCTTCTTCAGCATTATCGTCACTATCATCTGATTTTGCTTTACGTAGACGTCTACGTCTTTTTGTATTATACGATTTATGTCGGGGTTTTATATTGTCCATTTCATCAGCTGATGAATCAGTACCCTGTGTTTTTTTCTTCACATCTTTCACTTTTTTGTGATCACTAACATCGTCATCGTTATCTGAAAGACGAGATGTTGGTTTCATAGACGATAGTCTTTGTGACTTTCTAATCCTACTTTGTGTTGTCCTATTCTGTTTAACCTTTCTAGATCTTATCTGTTGTATGGAAGATTTTGATGAACTTGATGCACTTTGTTCACTTTCACAATCATCATCATTATCGTCATTATCATCATTATCATCATCATCATCATCGTCATTATCATCATTATCATCATCATCATCATTATTATTATCAATATCATTGACATTACCAGCATTGTCAACAGCATCAACAGTACTACCAATATTATTTTCATCAGATTCAGAGCTGGAGAGTAAATGTCGTATTCGCTTTGTACGGTTAGTGGAGGATAAAAAATTTGCAGCATCTTTACTGTTTGAATTGAATTCTGATTCACTTCCTTCATCAGAATTATCAAGCAGTAAAGTTGTTTTATTTGGTCTACTTTCACAACTATTGACATTTTCATTAACAACAGATTTAGTAAGACTAAAAGAGAATATTTATTTATAATGATTAGCATTCATTCAAGATAACAGGCAATTTGGAACATATAATATAATGAATGAATTACATTACGTGAAAATCTCTCAAACACTATACAGATGTGTAGAAATGTAAACATAATTACGTTATAACATGATAGACACTAGGCATTTAAACCAACTCGGTGTGATAACACTTAGAGAGACCGATACGAATTGATTAGACGAAGCAAAATAAACAATCCTACAGCAGAATGTTTATTGCCTGACTGATTAGGACTCTGATTGTAACACTATGTAACATGGTTTTGAATCTTATAAAAACTAAGCATTCCCTCGAAACCGTAGGTATGTATTGCTGTAGAGAGCCAACTAGTATGGAATCTAGATCCGTGACAAGCTGTCGATTATCAACATTTATTTATTTATTCGCACACATAAACATTGGTAAAAGGAGGCACCAAAAAGATATGCACCACATAAATCATTTGATCTATCTGGGGGCTAGGATGCTGCCCGGGTGCCTAAAGGTATAATACACAAGGCAGCGGAGCAACGTGAGGAGATGCAGTCACATGGTAGTTGGTGACCAACAATAGGTACATACGCCATTTGTTTCCTTAGGATCCTGGAGCCCATGTACACCATTAGTTTGAAATCAAGGTTTCCCAGCTCCCCTACGTGGATCCACCGTATCCATAAACCCGGTTAAAGAGCCAGACATTCGCTTTTCGTCCTCTCAGTTTCGTGAACAACAGCCCCGCCCCGAGAAGGCGGTGAGTAGGACTTCCCTGGTAGTGGTTGTATGCACGTGGCCATTTGAGAGCATTTCGAGAGGGAGAGCAAACTCTCCTCACTCTTGGCCGTACCAGGGCATTTGTGAAATTCACTCATATAAATCCGATAGAAAATGTTTAATTAAAATCTCAGACATAGACTGTTGAAATCATGAGAAATCGATCTAAAAGCGGAAATCAACTATCATAGATAAGGGAAACGATCATTTTTAAGACAACATAGAAGTGGTACATCACAGTTCGGATTGAGTGAATAAACGCCATAAAACCATGTGACTTACCGGGTTAAACAAATTATGGGATCAGATGGGGTTATGTTTTGTTCTAAGTTCATACATAAAGATACATTACCGTGTAAATCATTTGATTTATTGCTTGATAAATTATGATTACTAGAAGCATTATTATTATTATCGTGGTCGTCAACAAGTTTTGTAATACTGTTAGATGTACTATTTTTATTATTTTCATCTGTTACGACTTTTGCATTACTATCTACAATACCAACATCATCATTATCATCATCATCATCATCTGAACTAGACTTCAATAAATTATCACGAGCATTCAAATTATGCAAATAATCATTTGTTTTCATTTCAAGTTGATTTTGCCGAGAGTTATTTACATCACTAGCAGTAGTATCATCCCCAGCTAAATCATTCGATTCAGAACCGTCAAATGTAGCATCCACATTATTTTGAGATGAATCTAAGTTATCTTCAATAGACCATGAATCATCTTCAAAGTCAACTGGATTCCTATTACTTGTTTTGGTTCGATTTATTCGTTGATTAGCATTTCTATTTTCAGTATTCTAAAATTTCGAACAGAACAGTAAAGGATTTTGAACACAGATAGTGCAAATAAATAAAAGGAACATTTTATTTTAAATTAAGTATTGGATGGAGATTAGTAGAAAAATAAGAACGAATTTAAATAATTAAGGAGCTTTGAAAAATTCATCCATTTTACAAGAACCTTAGAAAAGGTTTTTTGAAACCTTTTCACTTTTCTTGATATAATAGTACTACTACTAAACAGTGGAAACAATCGGTGGGAAGAACTGTGAGAAGGAACTCAAAATTGGTAGCAACTACCCACCTTGCAGTCTTCTGCAGTATCCTGTATAAAACAAGAGTATTTTTTCATAGCTTAAAAAATCCCCAAGTTTTGTTCTGAATAGAGACACCACTTCTAATGGTTTTAGTATAATTATACTTGTTAACTATTAGTGTTGTCTTATGACCCTAACTTCATTTCTAACTAATCTATGCTAACTTTCGCTATTTAATAAACTAACTATTCTTACTCTCAAATATAAATAGATGAATAAACAGGATTTTTTATGAGTATCTTTATGATGTGCATTGAAAGAAGGCAATTTTCATTAACTGACAGAGTATTATTTTACTTTAGCAGCCAATCATCATTAGTACAGGGGGATTGTGGAGACTATTGAATCATGTAGTTTACATCACTGATTGTAATTATAAACCAACTGAAATCCGATAATCAGTTAACAATTGTTTTGTTCTAGGATAGGACTCTTCAATAGCAGACATTCACAAACTCTTCAGAAGTTGAACTCAAAACTTTCAGGCCTCACCAAGGAAACTTAACCTCTATCATCCTATCCAACCCTTTGATAGCACAATTTGATAGGCAGACACGTTCTCAAAGTAAACAAGAATAACTACTAGTGTGGTTCGCACAATCCACATCTCCACTATTCCACTCATACATGGTTCTTGATTATTCGATTAGACTAGTGTAATTGTAATGATATGTATAGAAACACGTTATAGCAATTTACAACTTTTGATAATCGCATCTAGGACACGTATCTCACGATGACATCACTCTGATTATACCATGCCATGTCAAGTGTTTGTCCTTTTTCCCTGTTAACCATGAATTACTAACTCAAAGTTATGGTTTCATGACTGAATGAGTAGACAGTGTGTACAAACAAAAATAAGGTAGCTAGATTTATATTGCTACTTCATATTTCCTAGTGGATTGACAACAGATGTACCATTAAATGGTTAAAACTTAAATTAAAGAAAAATACACAACTATCATTACTGCATACATAAATAAAGGAATAATTTAAAAGGTAGGTGACATAAGCACATGAAAGTTACCTGAATAGTTCTTTTCTGTACTCGAGCACTCGGATCCGACTGAGCTAAAAGTCAAAGTTGGTAAAGGTACAGTGAACTATTTATCATAAATAAGCTGAGAAATAGAACGAATAGTAATTTAATATCTAGTTGACGACTTTCTAATCACTTGAGGACATTAAATTAATTTCAGTACTTCTTGAGAAACAGAGCAACAAATATTCCAAACTATATTTTCCTGATTATCATATCATACAGTCCGTGCACGCATACGTAGTGTCCTGTAAATAGCTTCAACTTATTTGACTGAAACGAACGATAATGTCTCAACAAATAGAAATATATAAACTCTCAAATATATGTGACTTTTGAATATCAATACATATTGAAAAGCAGATAGTATTACGAAAACAGCACAACCAAGAGGACTCCTCAAAGATATGGTTCATAAACAACACCATGAAATTAAAGACAATAAGACTTGGTATTGAGCTTAATTCCAATTAAATAGCTTTTTATAACGGAAACATATTTCCTCTTATCATAAATCAATCCACCTCCACTTTAATAGTTAGTTAAAGAAGAAAAAGAATAGTCATACTAAGACCTGCATATTTCGTCATAATTTCTACAACATTTTTATCGACTGAATAAATGAGAAGCAGACTCATCAACAATTGTATTACTGGTTACAGATTCGACAGCACAACGATAAATGATGAAACCATCATCTTAGTGTAAATGAAAGAACCTATCAATAAAGATTTCTTAAATATTCGAACTAATAAAACAGAGATTTGTATATATTTTGGTAAGATTCAGTATTTATTAATTTATGTGTAGTATACATATATAAGAAGCATAAATAGTTTTTTTCGGATAATTTAGCATTACTGATTATTCCTTCTTGAAGAAAGGACTCATCACAACAAGGAAAATAGTATTTCTAACACGACAAACGGTCATTAAATATTCACATTTATTTATCTCCACACTCTTCACTAATCCAATACAAATGTTCGTTTGACCAGATAACACAGTGAACAATAAAAAAATCAGATTTCGTTAGAGAAGAAACGAGGAGACTGAAGTATTCATTTGAACAAAATATATATCTAGAAGATAAAAGATTCTATTTATGACTGATTCTTTGTACACAGACTTTATTTTAAAGTAATGTATTCTTCTTACTCCTATTCAATGATAAAAACTCAGTAGCGAATAAAATGTACTAGCCCTATAATTAAGTGTACATGAAACCTGCAGCGTAGTTGTATAGCAGTAAAAGAAATGAATACTCCTGTGGTGAAATAGAAAAGCAGTGTAGAAAATCTTCAGAGCTTTCATTATTAATTCCATGTTAGTAGCCACGTTGTACTGAATTAATCTTTTTAAACAAAAACATAAAAATCACCGTATAAAATAGAAGAACGTGAAGGTTAGAACTGGTGAGAACTATCATCCAAAGAAAAAACCAGCTCGACGATCTACGGGTTAAAGTGATCTATCTGTTAAGTTTAAACTAAGTTTTTCTAAATGTACTCTAATGTTGATAGGGCTTTGGTGTATCGGGCCACTTTTAGCTTTTAACCTATAAATTACAATTTCGCCTCTCTTATTTGATTAGGTCGTCTGGAAAAATTACTAATCCTCGTACAAAAAGTGAGTGTACAAACATGTACACCATAAATGAACTATACCATTATTATTAGTTTATTTGAACAAACGAACTGTTATCAAGTGTGGTACTCTAGACTTCCTATACACAAGTCCCCGACCGGCTACCATGTGAAAATACCAAGAGTGGAGAAGGAAGTTAATTGGACTAAACCGATCCACATACCTAAGCATATATATATATATATATACTTAGAAAATGAAACTATCACTTGACCAATCACATGAACTTGTCATCAGGAGATTCTCGACTGTTACAAAGTGTCCTCATTTGGCGATTTTTGACTGGCCCACTAGTACGAATGACTTTTAGTTTCTACATAAAAGAATATTTACATGATTAATGGAGTAGTATATATACTATTTTACACTACTGATTGAATCACTTTAACAACAAAAAGGAAGTAGTTATGTTCTGGTTGCACTGAAATGTTTGATGTCGACTAACTAAACAGTCCACAAATTCCAAAGAGAGGAGTTAGAAAATATTTACTGACGAATAAATAGTGATAAGGTGCCTTCGAATATAAATTTTATACATGAAAATCTTAAGTGTGAGAAGATCGTTGAAACGTTAAAAAAATCAGGAAAAATCGTTTTTCAGTATTAATAATCATTTCTTAGCACTGTTCAAAAAATGTCAGTTTGTGAAAATAAACATCGGATTAAAATTATAATATTTACATAAATGAAGGTTTCAGACCATATGAGAAACACCAATATCCATGCAAAATATTCATTGCCAAATAATAAAATTAACTGACCACAATTTCTCTCATCGACAGTAGACTGCTCTGTGAAACTAAGATTGATAGATTTGGCACAAATACTTTCTAGGTTATGCATTTCCTTCTCCAAATCTTGTTCTTCTGATGACTGTCCGCGAGGTAACTTGTCCTACAAAGAAAAAGATCAATACTTTTAGTAATATATATATAGATTATTATTATTATATTTGGTATTTCAAAACAGTTCCTATACATACGAGAGTAATTTATAATAAAAACGGTAAACATACACTATAGAGTGATGTAAAATTTTAGTATTCTAGGAAAATTGTTTGATAAATAACTCACTTATTATAATTGTTAAATATTTATACTGAGTTTTGAATAACTTGTCAATAATAAAAAAATAAATGGTTTGAATTCATGATAATAAAACGCTTTGAATAAAATCAAACCCGGAATATTTACTCTCCATCTGTAACGCGAAAACCTTCAATAAGTTGGACATGATCCTTGATTTCCTTTTCATCCCTTATCCACAGGAACTTCTATACACTGACTTCATTTTCTACAATAACATGATGCACCGAGAGGTAACTGCCTAAAATAATTTCTAGTTGTCCTGTGTACTGAGTATAATATTTTTCCAACCTTGAGGGTAGTTGCCGAATACAGTTGGTAGCTAAATACACTGATGAAACAAATTTACACAACAGAACTGGAATAAGTATGTTATAGACTAGTCCTTTACAATGATGTAATTATTCTGCACAATCACCGTAAATAAAACCAGAACATACGATAAGTGAAAGGCTAACAATATTTGATACATCTAGAGGGTGATAATTAACTGACACTATTCAACCATCTAAATTTTATTAAGTCATTAAAATTTGTAAAACCATTTACTATATCATACTCAAAATATTTCAACCATAAGCATTAATGACTCCAGTAAAACAATAAGTGGAAAATAAATAACATTAAAGAAAAACGAAAAGTTAATTAGCTAAACCTAAAAGTCATTTCTTGAATTTGGCATTACAACAAAATAAGCAATTTTTCGAGGGGAGAGGATACTTACTTGATGGTTTATAATAGTTGATTCCTTAATAAGATCTAATTTACGTCTTTTCCCGTTGTCTGTTTCCGGCTTCATCCCCATATCATCTAGTTTGTGTTTAACACTTTTATTATTATTATTATTATTATTAGTGGTAGTAGTAGGATTAGTAGTATTAGTAGTAGTAGGATTAGTAGTAGTAGTAGTAGTAGCAGTAGTAGTAGTAGTAGTAGTAATAATAATAATGTTAGTAACATAGTTGTCATTATTTTTGTTATCATGAAAACCCGTTGTTACAGGTGCAGATTGTTGAGAATGAATTGGTGTAGAAGAACAATTAAATGATGCTGTTTTTGGTGTAGAAACTTCTGGTGTAGATACAGCCTCAGTGGAATTATCTTCTTTCGTCAAATCGATTGTTACATCATTTGAAATACTCGGTATAGGCTTGGGAATAGAAACATTACTTAACTGGGGAAGAACACCTACGGAATGAGATTGGATTATTTGTTTATTTCTACTTGTATTAGTGATGAAATCCTCTTCTTCTTGCATTCTTGCAACAAGATTGCCCAATCGTGTGAATAAATGAAATCTATAAATGCCTTGAAACGACTGAGCTATTTTATCTAGATCCATCTGAGGTGGATTACGCATCAAATTATTCTCTAAGCGACGTATGTCTTTAGCAAATATATCTAAACACCTTTGTGAAGCTCGTAAAGCTGTTTTAACATTAACTTCATTTACACTAGATATTTGATTGAAAATACTCTGAAGATCGACTGATTCTAAAGTGACCGATGAATTATGGTTGGTAATGGCGGTTGGAATATTGACTTTGTCGCATTTGTCAAATTCATTAACATTTATTCCATTCGAAGACATATCAGACAACTGGAATGCGGTGTTCTTATTAAGAATATTATTACTAGGAGAATGAAATATATTGGAAGATGAGATCAAACCTAAAAAGGAAATAGATGGTAAAGTAGTTACTTTAATTAGTTATACTGAAGATAGATCGTTTCCATTGTCGTAAAACATTATTATGAAGTAATAAGCTTGTGTTGAGCAAAGTACCTTGGACAGACACCAAACACTCAGTAAACTTTCTAATTTTACAACACGCTACTGAAATGAAGCTTTAAACTCTATGATAATATACTGTATCAAGTTGTCATGAAACGTATTTCGATTTTCAATTTTTCCGTAACGGATATTAGTTGTAGACTGATAAATCAAGTATGGTGGAAGTTATATGAAATGGAATCTTTGAATATAGGATAGTTGTGTTGGATTAGCATCTGTTGGTTCATTATAATTATTTGAGGGGACCTCGTCAGACATGGACAATAACGGAGGTTAGAAGTGATCTGTTTATAGCTTTCTATAGTATGTTTTATAATTAGTTCAAAGCTTCATCCAACTCAGTGAAATCTCCCTCGTTTGTACTTTAACTCAAACTAAACTGTTGAATGCAAATCTCTTTTCCTGTATTATTTTAAATTTCTGTCTCAGAAATAGTGTAAGCCATTTTATGGTTTAGAAAGTCTCCTCAACAAATACCATACGAAGCAAAGTGTAATTCAGAGTTCTCTGTCAATTATATTGAAACACCTAATGAGACGTACAACATCACACAATCTTCATCAAATAAAAAACTCAATAAACTGGAAAATAATCGTGAAATAAGTAGAAAGTTATCCATATTGTGTGAATGATAGTTATAGTAACACTCATTACCCGAATCTCAGTAGACATTGAAATCCAAACCTTCGATTGCGTTACTAACAGTAAAGTGGTTAAGCCATTAAATTCGAAAATTTGACAAAAAAATGATGGAAACTCTTAGGCATTAACACCAAGAGAGCAGCAACTAAGTCAAAAACAGAGTTAATAATCCACAGAAAAAAATGGAATATAGCATTATGTCAGTAAAGGAACTTTACCTTCTGTGGTATCGGGATTGTTGAGGTTAGTGTAATTGGACGATAATTCTGGTACATCATTACAATTAGATTCACCATATTGACCTTTAGAACGAGATCGCCATGTTTCTTGAGCTTTCGTCGACCGACGTTTTCTTATACTTTCATATTCCTCAACTTTAGCAACAATCTGGTAAACAACACAGATAAAGAAGTAGTTAAAAATGCCAGTAAGACTAGATAATAAATTTGCTCTAGATGACACTCAAAAATTGTCTTTGAAAACGGGCAATTAGTAAAACAGCATAACAGTAATGAGGAATACGTGAGAAAAGCAAAATTTATTTTGAAGGAAGATTTTGTTGTGAAGCATTACAGTTAGTATCCGGAACTTTATAACTAACTATTCGAATATTAAACCATAAAGTATGCGCAATAAAAGATCCGAGATCCCACAACTTTTCAAAGCTTATCTCATAGCTAGCTGTTAATTAACACACATAAATCCTCTTACCGACTTAAATTGATGGCATTTTAGTGTGTTTCTTTTGAAAATATGTTAAACTAATTTGATTTACAAGAATACATTACTTAAAATATATCAAGAAAATTCAATTAACCAATAATGGTTTAAACAAAAAAGTCAATAAAAGATCATCTACAGTTGATAAGGGAAATCAGAAAAACAAAAATATATGTACCTCTAACTGTCTCTAAATGTTTTCGAAGAAAAATGACTAAGATAAATAATTATAAATTGTAGATATGTTATAAATAAAAGCTAACCTTGGAGCAGTTATCTTGTAATGTTTTGATAGGCGTAGGGTCACATACAAAGCAACTCCAAGTATCTGATTCATCGAGAGACTCAATATTGCGCAAGTAGGTTCTACCCAAGTTTTGCTTGATACATTTCTTACAAATCGCAAACGAACAAGTATCACAGCATACAAGATCTCCACCGTCTGAACACCACTTACAATTATCATCCTTCCCTGCATCATCTTTTGCAAAGTTCTGGGATTTGCAATACATAGTGCAACGCTATTGTAAATAACTGTAAATACATACCAACGAACTTACTTTACAGAGTATCACTTTCAAAAGTGGATGAACACTAAACGGCGCGGAGAAAGGCTGTATTTTACAGCAACAAGCAGTGCATTTGACAAAGTCCATAACACCCGGACTAAAGCTAGCGCATATTTTGGATGAATAGTTGTTTCCGGTTTTCCCACGTCTTTTATGTGTCTCGGATGCAGAATCAACGATTTCTGGTTCAATAACTGGAGTACCTATAGTAGGAAATAACCATTTTTATTTATGACATACCATCTTGTAGAATAGGACGTCCTGAACTATCAATAAGAAAGAGAGGAGATATCTGCACAACATCAGAATCAGCATCACTATGAATAGCATCACATTCGTCGGGCACATTACTGCAAAGTTCTGAAGTGCCTTTATCCTCATCTGCTTGATATTTTACAGCGGATGGTTTTCTGTGAAATAATAATACTCATCTAAGCAAAAGCCTTACTTCCGCATTATTTATTTTTAGTAAAGATTCTTCTGCATAGATATTTCTAGAAAGATAAAGAAACGATGTGATATGTAGTCGTATAAATTAGAAGCACATGCATAAGGGTGGACAAATTATAGTAATTTTAGAACAGTCAAAAAAGCATACTGTCTAAATATCTCATAATCACAAAAAAATGAATTCATTAGAATGACCGGGTTCATATATCTTCTCAGGTAGGACAAGCCCGAAAATGTTTCATATTACGGAAACACACTGAATTGATTGATGTAGTTAATAACGAGTTTTAGTAAGTTAGTATCCCAAAACCACCACTGGCCTCATTTTAAGAGCAAGTGGCAACCATACTGACCAAACTGTTTTTGCTGTATGCTGGAATATAGAACAAGCAAAGTTGTGCAGAGTTAATAGACAGAATCATTAAATGACAGTATTGCTGAAATGTTTCTAAACCAAGAAACTGTCTTTTTTCAGAAGCATATTTTTCAGCTTTTAAACTTCTAAAGCATTGGGCAACTAAAACTCGACCAGTTGATTTTTTTAGTTTGTTTGAATAAACATTACTACAGAAATCGTAACTAGCAGCATACTAGCATCAAGCGAACTAAACACTACTACATAAAACAATACCAATACTATAAGGTGTGGTTGTATTTAAACATCGAAGTCGGTGTTTCTGCTTATTTGATCCATAAAAGAACAGTGTGCGCAGGTGACGTTTAAATGGCTTAATACCAAGTAACTTGAAAATGAATTACAACACCTACCACCAAATATTAACACACTCACTCACTCGTAAGAAGCAACCGAGTCTACTAAAACTTAGTTTTGTGAAAAGATAAAAACAGCTTTGTCATAGACAAATGAGCAAACTTCAGCTTTGTATTTTAGAAGTTGTGCAGTCATAAATTAAGATGTTAAGTTAACCTAGCCAAATTTGATTTTCAACGGATAATTTTTGGACGTCTTTCATGGTTGTGGTCGGAGCGTGCTAACGAGATGGAAGCAGCAGCTGCATCTGGTATCTGCCGGGAGCTCTTCCAACTCATCCGAGCCACTGGCATTTATTTTTTTATTTATTTATTTAAACACATAAATATTGGTACAAAAGGCACCAGATACATATGCGCCACACAAAATAATAAAAGTAGGAAGAGAAGGGATGAAAAGATAAGGCGGACTGAAATGTACAACCAGAAGAGCTCTCTCAGTTAAGAAAGTTATAACCACTCTTTATGAAAAAAGTAAAAGAAGGTTACAACAGGCTCGCCACTGGCTTCTATTCTGAGCCATATCTGATAACGTCTCTAGCCACTGTGTTGCACCGTCTCTCGGACTCCAGCCAGGGAGTCGTGAAGGACCAACAGAAGCTAGTCCTTTGCAGCTTTCTTTCATACACCGACCACCTCTCCGCTTTTTCCAACCAGTCCCAGAGACGGAAAATAATGCACGACGTGGAATTCTCTGGGACGACATTCGTAGAACATGTCCAAGCCACCGAAGTCGGTGTTTCGAGATGGTGAAACCAATTGAATTATCGTCTCGGCGCCCGAACACACGATGCCGAACCTCTGCATTACTAACATGGTGTTGCTACTGAATGTCAGCAATCCTTCGGAGACAACGATGATCGAACACAGAGAGACGTCTCTGACGCGCCAATACATCCTCAACTCGGAGAGGCCAGGTTTCACAAGCATAGAGCAAAACTGCTCTCACCGACGCGTTGTAGATCCGACCTTTTACAGCCAGACTAACATCACGAAGGCGCCAAAGATGGCTCAGATTGGCACAAGCCGCTCTGGCTTTCATTATACGTGCATCAGTCTCAACACTCACGCCATCACCAGCACTTATGTAGCTACCTAGATACACGAACTTCTCAACTACTTCAATCTGCTCACCATCCAGGGTGAGTACAGGATGAGAATCCTGCCAGTCTTGTAGGTGTACTTTGCACTTAGAGGATGCAAAGCACATACCGTACCTGCGGACACTGATTGCCAACTGAATAAGTGCGGATTGCATGCCTTTGGCATTATTGCACAGTAAGACAATATCATCCGCATACTCAAGGTCGAGAAGTCTTTCTCCAGGCAGCAGATCCACAGCGCTATTACTTACATCCATCAGAGCTGTTTCCAGAATGTCATCGATGGCAAAGTTGAAGAGGAATGGTGAGATCGGGCAACCCTGCCTAACACCACTGCTTGAATGGAACAAAGGAGGAAGGTGGTTGTATGCCCTCACTCTGCCTGAGGTGTTCGTATACAGGGCCTTTAAGATGTTAATGAACTTCTCAGGCACACCCTTCTTCAATAGACAATCCCAGAGAACAGTCCTGTCCAACGAATCGAAGGCAGCCCTGATATCAAGAAACACTACGATTGTTGGCCTGTGATAAGTATGACGGTGTTCTAACATTTGATGGAGGGTGAAGATGTGATCAATGCACCCTCGACCAGAACGAAAACCAGCCTGCTCCTCGCGAGTCAATCGTTCTCGGTTTTTAAACAACCTACGAAGAATGACAGAAGCTAATAGTTTGGACGCAATCGGAAGTAGACTGATCCTCCGATAGTTGTACAGGAACAACGTGAACCCTTTTTAAAGATAGGGACGACTATCGACTCATTCCATGATGTTGGAACACTTTCTTGCTCCCAAACCTTTGTAAACAACACAGTCAATTCCTTAGCCAGAAAGTCACCATCATCTTTAAAAAGAGCCGGAGGTGAGTCATCTGGGCCCGGTGATTTGTAGCGTTTCTAGAGTTGGAGTTCCTTGTGGACTTCTGCCTCGTTTGGTGGGTCAGTCCTCACCGGCCATGGGGGGGCAGGACAAGCTGGTTGATGTTGCCGGAGCAGCAGGCCAGTTGAAATGCCCTTCGAAAAATTCCGAACATCGTCCAAGACATCGAGAGATGTTAGTGATTGGCATCCCGTCATCCCCGTAGATTGTTTCACTCACACCAGACTTCTTGCTGCCAGTCGCTCGGATGAGTTGGAAGAGCTCATTATCGAGTGGTTGATGGTCTAGCTCACAGATACATAGGTGTCTAGTACATAGCAGCCATTCCATTCTGTAACACCAGCTGTAGGTACACTACCCCTGACGAATCCCAAACTCCAGGTGCTGGGATTATGTTTTTCTATCAGGAAAATCTCATGCTCAAAATTTAGTTTCCTTTCTATTCATATCCTTTAATACGAATAAAAGCCATAATAACAGAAGGGTAGGAGTACGAAATTGATAGTAAGTGGACTTAAAATTTAGATTATCTAAGATGTGACTCACTGAGTTGTAGTGGCCCAAACCATAGCGTAAGCTCAAAATAAAAGCATAAAGTAATGACCATAAAAAAACACGAAAGCTACACATGAGCTATATAGCGATAAACAAAACAGTGACGTAGGATAACAGTAAGTTCTAATTGTAGAACATCTCATGAATAAGCACACCAAACATAGTATATATATCTAAGCAAATGAGTGATGACGGCTCTAAATGTAAGATTGCATAGCATTTGAAAATTAAGTATGACAAAAAACCCTAAAAACATAAGTAGGTTTAGAACACATACAGTGTTGCAGCTGCCTGTGTGTAATAATTCTGTTTATTTTTCTGTATATAACTTATATGCTCAACTTCAAGTCATTTGTGATCAATACTTTGAGCCTATGATTGGAGCTTACCTTGAAATTCAGACGCGAAAAACCCTAGGAATCCAAACTACCAAATAAGTAACATATAAACAGCTTTATGGATCTCTAAGGAAATTTTCAGAACGGGAAAATACATCAAGTAACATTCACTATTGAGCGTTTAATTCATATGGAACAAACTATTAGAAAACAGATTATTTAGGCTTTTATTCATAATTCAAATGGTTTTAGACGGAATAGAAGAAGCTTTCGTTTAACGGGCTTCCGTATCTAGTGGCAGTAGATCACCAACACCACCGGGCAGGAACAGGTATATTATATATAATAGAGGGGAAGGTGATTCGCAAAACATAGACAGATACTATCCTTAGACCTTAAGAATACGTCAAGTTTTCTCTTAACAGACACCTGGGAAAACGCTTATATTAGCTCAGTCGGCAGCGAATTCCAAGATTTGACTACTCTCAAGGAGTAGAATTTGTCTACAATTCGTTTTGCTGAGTTGCGTCTTCAGTTTCTAGATGTTATTCCTTAGATTTGCGTTGGAACTAAACTTAATTCAGCGTTTAAGAGGATATCTAGGAGTATTTACGATGTTGTATGCCATTGAGAGGTCACCTCTAAGACACCAAAACTCTAATGGTAAAGCGATAAAAATTACATAGGGATGAGAGAAATGCGACAAAACTGAGACCTCCAACCACTGAGAAAATGCTGACAAGATAAACAAAGGAAGTGCAGTGAATAACGAAACATAACCTACTGAAGTAACGCAGAAATTTGAGGACCTGGTAAAGTGTAGTTTTCAACGATGTTCAATTCCGAAAACAAAATGTAGCAAAAATTCACTGACAAATATCCTTCCTCCCATTTCTTGGAAGGATCTTTTTATAAATTTATTTATTTTCGTTTGCAATCGGTTCTTACAGAATCATAATAGGAAGGTGATTGTATTATTTAGCCAGCTACTACAAAGGCAAATTATTAGGCTATACGTGGTTTATCCTAAACATACACTTCGACACAAGAAGAGGTCGCTCATTTATTTTATTAGTTTCTACATTCCTACGCCACAGAACACGTCACCACTCATTATCTTTTTTATTGGTCCCAAAATTGTAACCATAAATCCCAAGCATGAACATCGTCCAGTCTTTCGACATTGGTGTCCGACTGCTTAATTTTTGACAGATACTACTAGGCTGAAATATTTGGTCAAATATGACTGTCATATATAATCAGGTGGTGCTGCATCTCCTTAAGATAATGAGTTTTAAGCACTAAATTATATATTGGCTTTACATTGAGTCGCCAATAAATGAACCGTCTATCGTAACACACAGTATTAGCATCTCCTTTTGAAGATGTATGTCAAAGACTTCCGAATCAATTAGCAGCCTCCAAAGGCAAGAGTAAAGTTGATCTCCGTGTAAGGAAACGGGAACATAAATTATCTGAACAGTCTAGAATACGCCGGTTTCTAATAAATGCACTGAGTTCGCAATATCAACGCATCCACTGTCTCTAAAAGAGACGTAAATCATTAAGATCAAGTACGGAGACGGGCAAATAATTATGTATTGAGACTAGGGAATAAACCTTACAGGGACATATTTCAAGAGTTGGGTCTATTTTAAACAAACTATGGAAGAATAAGGAGTGATCTGATAATGGCATGCAACAAAGAAAGGAGGTAAATTTTTCGCCATGTGACCACTTATTCTATTACACGTTACGTGGAATTCTTATCATTCTCTACAATGAATGACATATCAGGTCAATCAGCGATATGACGTCTAACACTTCTGGAAAAAACATTTGTGCTAGGCATAGAAAAACACATTTTATATGAATAGCAAAAAGTTACACACAATGACTGCACCCGCAAGGCCGAGCCATGCCGTACTGAACAATTGTTCCCGCCTTCAACAAGTATAACATTTTGAATATCAATCTTCCCAGTAATTATATGTTCAGCTCCGAAAATGGTGCAATTGGAAACCAACACCACTACAAATGCACCTGGTCAACACAATACAAATATCTTACCAGAACACCACCGTCATGCTCCTACGGGCTATCCCAATAAGTTTGCACATCAAAGAGAAGAAATCCATGTACGCTCTTACTCTTTCTCACTAAGAGTTGCTCTTTTTTAAATGACTTAAGCCGAAGTTGCCAAAACCCCTACAGTGGATGTCTTGAAAAACATATCTTGGAATAAGTTGCAATTTCACACTTTTACTTGCTGTAACTGACAGATATTTCGTAACTTGCCTGCTGTTATCACTATCACATGCCATCAACTTATTCCTATGCAGCTGATTATCAAGTTTATCTACCATTATATTCCTACGTTTCGGTTTTAGCACATTGTTTATATTACTAATTAGTTTGTTACGGTATGAAGATGACATCAATATGTATATTGCACTTCTCCGTCCTGGGAGAAAAAAAACAGGATCTGCGAATGCATATCGAAATACACTTGTACTTGCGTGAAGACACATAGCGAGCGAAAAAAGGTAAATAAACCAATACGCTTGATACAACGTAAAAGCGATTTTTTAAAAATTGTTTTTTATAAAAAAATGTACGTTTATTAGTAAAAAAAGTTTTTTTGGAATAAATATTTAAGTATAAGCATATAAAATCCTATTATGTATATAAACATATATACGCTCATGAGTAAAAACAAAGGATTTTTTTCGGAATAAATATATATAAACGAGCATATTAAAAAAATTCTTTTTCATAATAAATAATGAAAAGGGAATTCGAGATTAAGTTTGTGTCCCACATGCAATGGTCGTTTAAATGTTCTGGAAACCTTACTTTTCTTCCAGAACGCGTTGTCTTAAGTTTATTTTCCGAAGTTGACGAAGTATCAAGGTGTGGGTCGGCTGTCGTGTGGGGTACCACAAGTGTAGGAGCCGTGTTGTTCGATTGTACGGAAGGAAAATCGACATAGATAGGGTTTCCTTCTAAGTACTCTGCTTTGAGTCGATCGATAGTGATGCTATCGTTCGTGCCGTTCTTATCGACTATATAGTACTTAGGTTCACGTCGAAGTATTTCGAATGGTCCTTCGTATGCTGATTCGAGGAGTCGTCGATGTCAGTCTTGACGAACGAAGACGTGTGTACTATGTCGTAATTCAGGTTGAACGAAAACATCAGTTAATTGAGGTTGAATGTGAGCAGGTTCAACTGAACGCATTGCTTTTGTAAGCTCGCTCGTGTAAGAGTTTAGATCCATGTTCAATGAAGAAGCCGAAGGATCCGCGAATTCTCCTGGAAGTCGGAGTGTCGTTCCATAAACGAGTTGAGATGCAGTATGTCCAATGTCAGCTTTCACTGCATTGCGGATACCTAGCAAGACGAGTGGAAGAGCGTCTGTCCACTTTGAAACGTTTGTAGCTGATAGAGCAGCTTTTAGTTGTCGGTGAAAATGTTCTACCAACTCGTTTGCTTGTGGGTGGTAGGCGGTCGTTCGGAAGCGAGTGATTCCTAGTAGTGTGGTCAGAAAACGGAACAGTCCGGATTCAAACTAGCGTCCGCGATCTGTAGTGATGATTGAAGGGCAGCCAAAATTTGCTACCCATCGTTCAACGAAGGCTCGGACCACTGTTTCAGCAGTAATGTCCTTAATAGATATTGCTTCTGGCTATCTTCTTTCGATGGAATGTTGAAAATGCCGTACAGCACAATACATAGCTAGGAGTTCCCTACCGAACGTGCTGTACCTAGATTCAGCGTCTAGCAACCGTCTCGAGAAAAATCCTAAAGGTAGCCAAGAGTTGTTAACCCATTGTTGTAAGACTCCTCCGATTACTGAGTCGGATGCGTCTACGGCGATACTAATGGGCGCTTGAGTGTCCTGATGAGCAAGCAGGGTTGCCTTAGCGATGTGTTCCTTAACTGTGGAGAATGCTTTACGGGCTGTGTCGTCTAAACTAATTGACTTTGCATTTCCACGAAGCTGATCGGTTAACGGTTTCATAAGGGATGCGCATTTGGGTATGAACCGTCTGTAAAAACTTACAAGTCCGTTAAAAGTTCGCAACTGCTTGATCGTGGTCGGTTCTGGGTAATCCAGAATGGCCGCCACTTTGCTTCTAAGGGGTCAGATGCCTTGGGCACCAATAGTGTGTCCTAGGAAGTCTAAGGAGCTGGTTCCGATTTGGCATTTCTGAATGTTTACAGTAACGCCATGCCTTTGGAGTCGATCGAAAACAATGTCCAGATGCTTGAGATGTGCTTCTTTGTCCGGACTTGCTATTAAACAGTCGTCAACATACGCATGTACGAAGTTGAGACCTCGAAAGTCGTCGTCTATAAACCTTTGGAAGGTTTGAGCCACATTTCTTAAACCAAAAGGCATTCGCAAGAATTCGTAAAGGCCGAAAGGAGTGATGATGGCGGTTGTAGGAACGTCGTCAGATGCCATCGGGATTTGGTTATAAGCCTTAACTAAGTCAATTTTCGAAAAGACAGTTGTATCTTTCAAGGTAGCTGTCAAATCGTGAATATGAGGCAACGGGTAACGTTCGGGAATGGTTTTAGCATTCAGACGCCGATAATCACCAGTTGGCCGCCAATCATTGCTGTCCTTTTTAGGGACCATGTGCAATGGGGATGCCCGTGGACTATTCGATGGTCGAATTATCCCTAAGTCTATCATATGCTCGAATTCGTTTGTGGCTAACCTAAGTTTTTCGGGAGCGAGTCGATGGGCTTTCGAGAATACAGGTGGTCCTGTAGTCGAGATGTGATGTGTAACATTGCTGGTTACACAAGGCAATTTCGATTGCGATTGGTGTATTCCGGGGTACTTGTCGAGTAATGGTTGATATAAGGGGTCTATCGTGTGTTTAATTGTGACTGGCGATAATCTGCAACCAGAAAAAGGAGTTACGCAAACAGATAACCTAGTGTTTCCGTCTACTAACCTTCATTTGCGTGTGTCAACGAGTAGATTGTGTTGTTGTGGGATGATTGGCATAGAAACATCTGCAACCATGAAGATCCAGTGAATGGGTTTGCGTAAACCCACGTTTAGGTAAACGTACCTTTTACCATATGTAGCGATTGTCTTGCCATTCACCGCCTGTAAGCTTGAAACAGATTCGTGAAGCCGGTCGTCAGAATTTGCAGGAAGTCCGCTTACGTCTGCGCCAGTATCGACGACATCGTGAACTATCGTGGTCACATCTGTGACGTATAACGGACAGCTATGTTTCCCGGCTACGGTTGCCGTTAACGCGTGCCGGCTGGGAAGATTCTCGAATTGTTTTTCGTGTCAAAAGACTTGGAGTTCAGGTAACTACAGGGTTTTCTGCAATTTTTAGAAGACTTCCCATACTGGTTATGATACCAGCACCAGTCAGGGTTATCCGTCTCTCGTCGTCTAGAGACAGAGCGCCTACGTAAACTGCTTCTTCGCGGTGTTTGCGACCGTTTACGGTCATTACGAAATCGAGGATAACGTGTCAGTGTATGACAGATCCGAAATGTCATCCCGTCTCTCTTAAGGTATTTCTTGGACTGAGAATACTTTAGCGTTAGAGGCCTTCGTGATTTCAAGTATGAGGTCTGCATATGCAGCCAGGTCGTCTACGGTGTTGTTTTGAAACGAGACGAGAACTGCTTGCACCTGCTGTGGAAGTTTAAATAAGAAAAGTTGTTTGAATAGGCTTTCATCGGAAGTCCTTTGGTCAATCACCTCTCGCGGCAGTGCCTTTACAACCGCGAGGAACTATGTGCGTGAATCAGTAATGCCATGCTCGTATAAGTCGACTTCTGCGTAGT